TCATTTAAACTGATGGCTAGGATGACTGGTTGCACATCCATTCTGTCACTGAACTAGGCTGTTGTCTTTAAACTCAACCATTGAACTTTCTGAGCTTCCTCTGAGTGTTGTTCCAGATGCAGTCACATTTTAACACAAGTTATACATCATATATTGGCAGCCAGGAATGACCAAACTTGGGTACCTTGCTGGCACAAAAAGAGAGCTTAATGACTTGAATTTGGTCACCTTGGGCAAAAGAGTAAAAGTGATTTGTCCTAGGGAGGCTGTGCACAGACGACAGGTTATTGTAAGGAGAATTTGTACAGCGTCTGGCACACAGAGCTCTGGAGTGGAAACACCTCACTTGCTGTAGTTCTCACCTCAATATGGCTTCCTCTTTTTTTCCATCCTTTTCCTCTCATCAAGCACTCAAGCCTTTGTCTCGTACCCTAGCTGTTCATGGCTTCTAAGTTCAATGTTCTACCTGGACCTTTCTTCCTTCAAAGGCCCCAATTCAAAAGACCTCCTTAATCTTCACCACTTATCAAAACTCTCATTTTCTGAAATTCTAATCTCATCAAGATGCTGGGAGAATGCATTTTGCTTAGTTGGTTAATGAAGTCCATCGTAGATTGTGAATAACTTATAAGCATTAATACATTAATTAACACATGTTATGAATAAATTAAATACATTTTCAAGCACATCTCTGATTTTTGTGTGTGTGTGTGTATGTGCACGTGTGCACACATGTGCATGCATACAGGCACTCTTAACTTGTGTCCAACCTGAAGGTCATAGATCATGGTGATTAGGAGGGCAGGCTCTGGAATGAGTCTACTGAGTTTTATATCTGGACTCAGTCTCACATTATTTGTGACACCTTATGAAAGCTACTAAGGCTCTCCGAGTATTTGTGTGTCTTCATCTCTACAATAGGTCTAGTAATAAAGGCTATCACTTTAGGTTATTGTAGAGTGAAATGAGATGATATATGTAAACCACTTCAAGGAGTGTCTGGTATACAGTAAGTTGTCAAGTAAATATTAGTTATTGTGATAGTGGGTAATTGAGACAGTCATCCTCCCATCCCACCTCTGCTTTGAATGTCAGAAAGGAGGGACACAACTTGATATTCCTTTCTCAAAAATTTCTTGCTGATGAGAAACACATCTTTTGTTTTGTTCATGAACAGACTGCAAAATTCTAAGAAGTCAGCATCTTACCTTACAGTAATTTAAAGGTTTGTGCTATGGACTAAATTGTATTCCCTCAAAATTTGTATGTTGAAGCCCTAACTTCCAATGAGATGGTATTTGGAGATAAAACCTTTCGGAGGTAATTAGATTTAGATGAATTCATGAAGGTAAGGCCCCATAATGAGATTAGTGCCCTTAAAAGAAGAACCACCAGAGAGCTCACTCTCCCTCTGCCATGTGAGGACACAGTGAGAAGGTGGCCATCTATAAGTCAGGAAGAGAGCCCTCACCAGAAACCAATCATGCTGGCACTGTGATCTTTGACTTCCAGCCTCCAGAAACGTGAGAAATAAATGTGCTTCAAGTCACTCAGTCTCTGGCATTTTAGTATGGCAGCCTGAGATGACTAATATAGTTTGAGTGATACCATGTCCTTACAACTATGCCAGTATTCAATATCAGGACTTTTCAGTGAACTGGTAGAAACTTAGCTTGTTCAGTTTTATCTTAATAATAAAGACTTAATCCACTGATATGTGATCAGGCTATGTTAATTATAGTCATAGGCCACGACCCCAGATTTCTTTCAGATGAATCATAAAATTATTATCTCTAAACTGGATAAGAATTTAAGAGTCATTTGATCTGTCTTCCCATATGACAGGTAAGGTCACTGAAGCCCAGAATGGTTACTGGTTTAGTATAAGTCACACAGCTGGAGCCCAGACTTTCTCCCTCCAGGCCAGTGTTCCCTCACACAAGACCTCAATGTATATCCTCAGTCACAAGGAGGTCTGGAGGGGCTGTAGAGATGGATTAGCCCAAAGCAGAGCTCCTAGAAAGAGTGCAAAGATTTCCTTTCTAAAGTGTCTTTATATACATGTGAGAAAACATCGTGTAGCAGCATTGACTTTTCATTTTCACTGTAACTTAGAGAGCCAAGGAAATTGTGGCTTATTTGTTTTTTTTTTTTAAACACATTTAAACTTCCTCCTGAGCTCCTACTCCCTCAGGGGGTTAGGGATGTGGGGAGTGGTGGGACTGCCGCAGTGGCTGGGGCCACCTCCATCTGCCAACAGACAGTATCACTGTCTCTTCCCTTTAAACAGTTTCTTCTAGATCATTTGGATTATTTGGGGTTGGTCTTTTGAATTTCTTTCCTTTCTTCCTGGTCCTTCTCAGGATGGCCTTCAATCCGCGTGCAGGTTTGTGGTCTGGCCCTTGGCCTGTGTGTCTGAATTGCACCTGGACCTGTGTTGCCTTCAGGTGCACAGATCAGGTAATTTGGACCTCGCCCAGGCCTCCACTGGCTCACTGATTCTTTCAGTGGCTTCTGTCCCTTTACTGAGGCATATAGGAACTTTTGGCTCCTCTATCCCAGGGACAGGCACATTGCATCTCTCAGGCTAAAGCCTGTTTTTGTAAGTAAAGTTTTGTTGGAACATGGCCATACCTGTTCATTTACATACAGACCACAGCTGCTTTTATGCTTAAAACAATAGTATTGAAATAATTATGATAGAGACTTTCTTGTCCATAAAGCTAAAATTATTTACTCTTAAGCCCTTTACGGAAAAGTTTGCTGACTGCTGCTGTCTAATAGAGTTTTCTACAGTGAAGGAAACATTCTTTATTTGTACTGTACAATGCAGTAGTCTTGAGCCACACATAGTTACTGAGCATTTGAAATGTGGCTAGTGCAACTAAGAAAACAAATTTTAAATTATATTTAATCTTGGTTACTTTAAATTTTAATTTAAGGAGGCTGTATGGCTAGTGGCTACCATATTGGACAGTGTAGTTCTAGATGCTGAATGGGTCTTGGGGAGCCAGGAATTCTACCTTTGGGTTTTCTCCCTGGCCATCTCTCTATTACTGCTCCTGGGACATGCATCCACGTGCAAGGTTTTTAACCAGGGGTTTGCATCTTTCCTCAGGCAAAGTGGGGAAAGCATGCTATTAATCTCTGATGTTCCAGATTCTCCCATATCTAGCAAATGTTTAGTGTCCAGCACCATCTACCCTACCCCAATGTTGGACTCAAGGATAGGATGCAAAGAGGGAACTCTGTACACTGTCCCTTTTACACTATCCCTTGGGTCTAGGAGGGCAGATGTTCCCTCCTTTCTTACGTGTGGCTGGGACTTCCCTTATAGGATGCTCTGTCTTCCTCCGAGATAACATTGGTTCTTTTCCCATCAGAGGACTATCCAGTGGATGAGGTACAGAGACAGAAACCGGCTGAACTATGAGGGAGATCCATCATACTGGCATTCCAAAATACTGTTCTTGATAGGACTGCTACATTACCTCGATTTATGAGAGGTGTGAAGCTTGACTATACTCAGATTCAATGCACATTTATTGAGTATCTGATATATTTCAAGCACTCAATCCACTGTTAGGAAGGACCCAATCTGCTCCCCCGCCCCCCCTTTTCTGTTCTTCTCTCACATCCCCAAACTGACAAATACAGTTTCACAATCATCCCTTTGAGTCTGATTTCAGCAGCTGTAGAGGGAATACTTGCAATATAAGCATAGCCTTTTTTTTTTTTTTGAATGATTTATCTTTTTTTTTCTGAACAATTACCTTTTCTAGAGCACCATTCTTCACCTCATTTAGACCCACATCACTTACCTGTCCTCTTTCCCGGCTTTACTTTTCCCCAGAGCACTTTATCACCTGACAAACTCTGTGATTACCTGATGAACTAATTTTCTGCCTCCCTCTTTAGAATATAGGCTACACGACAGCAGGAATTCTATTTGATTCATTGCTGTATTCTTAATACACAGAGCAGTGCCTGACAGAAAGTAGGTACTCAAATTTTTTTCAATAAATAAAAGAATCAGGATTATGCCTTGTAGTATAACTTTGATGTCTGAAAACAAACCAGGAGCCTCTCACTGCATGGTAGAGTCTGATGCCCCCCCGCGGCTGCCTGCAATGCAGCCACCACCACCTGAGACATCTCCACTTCCTCCTGCCCTGCAGCCCCCGCCGCTGCCGCCTGGGGACCAGCTATAGGACTAGGCCACCATTTTCAGTGCATAAACAAATTCCTCAGTTCTCTGGTATTCTCGGTCAGACATCTGTGGAGTTTCTGAAGGGCAGTGGTGATTACTGCCAGGCACAGCACAGCCTCTATGCCGACAAAGAAACTGTGGAAATTTATTACTACTCCATCAGGAAGCACCCATAAGAGTGATTATCCCGGACACAGAGGTGTTGAATTGAAATCAACATGCCACAGGGCATTTTACAAGAGTTCTGACCTGGGTGGGGTAGACCTCAGCGTGCTTCCTTTCTGTTCCCTTGGCATTACTGGATTGAAGAGTTGTTGCTTCTTATTAGGAGGTTCATTTCATTTATCATTACTTACAATTTCATACTCAAAGCACTGAGAATTTCAAGTGGAGTATATTGAAGTAGGCTTCAGTTTCTTTGTATCATTTCTGTATTCAATTTTCAAAATTTTTTTATAACCCTATAGAGTGTCTTTTTTTCTTTCTTTCTTTCTTTTGTTTTTTTGAGACAGAGTCTTACTTTGTTGCCAGGCTGGAGTGCAGTGGCTGATTTTGGCTCACTGCAACCTCTGCCTCCGGAGCTCAAGCCATTCCCCTGCCTCAGCCTCCTGAGTAGCTGGAACTACAGACGTGCACCACCACACCTGGCTAAGACGGGGTTTCACCATGTTGGCCAAGACGGCCTCAATCTCTTGACCTTGTGATCCACCTGCCTCAGCCTCCCAAAGTGCTGGGATTACAGGTGTGAGCCACCACGCCTGGCCGAATGTCTTTTAACTATATTAACATGGCTTGAATGAACTGCCCAGCTCCTGTGGAAGTCACATACAAGAACATGAGATTTCTTACTACACACAATCCAACCAAAGCAACATTAAACAAATTTATAGATGAACTTAAGAAGTATGGAGTTACCACAATAGTAAGAGTATGTGAAGTAACTTATGACACTAATCTTGTGGAGAAAGAAGGTATCCATGTTCTTGATTGGCCTTTTGATGATGGTGAACCACCATCCAACCAGATTGGTTATGTCTTGTAAAAATTAAGTTTCATGAAGAACCTGGTTGTTGTGTTGCTGTTTGTTGCATTGCAGGCCTTGGGAGAGCTTTGGTACTTGTTGCCCTAGCATTAACTGAAGGTAGAATGAAAGATGAAGATGCAGTACAATTTATAAGACAAAAGCAGCGTGGAGCTATTGACAGCAAGTAACTTTTGTATTTGGAGAAGTATCATCCTAAAACGTGGCTGCACTGCAAAGACTCCAGTAACAACTGGTCATAGAAACAACTTTTGCAGTCATACAGAACTAAAATCCCAGGAACTATGAACACTCTAGACCTTATGTAGCTTATTCCTTCAATCAGTTCAAACATTGAAAGAAGGGCCTACATGGCGATTTGCCTGTTCACTTTATGTTTACATCTCCCACATTCATACCGGCATATATCAGGTTTGCTTAACCATTGCTTTTTTTTTTTTTAAGCAAGTCTTACAGTGATTATTTCATGTTCCTATAAATCTTACTTTGTGCTGTTATGAAAAACCTCCACTGAAAAAAATTTACATTGTACAGAAGCACATGTCTTTAATGTCTTCAGTCAGCAAGGTCTTACAGTTAATTTAATGTTTGCCATCTGAAGTGCAACTTAACAGGGAGGGCCTGAGAAAAGAATGGGAGGGGTTATTCATTATTTTAGCAAAATGTTGCCTTTGTCTTATGCAGACATGTAGACTATGCCCTTTAATTTAGTAAAATATTTTTTACAGGTAGAGAGGATTTGTTATTGTAGCTGAAACAATTCTCAATAATAAAATTAATTTTTTCCATAACTATAAGAAGTTGTTTACCAACTTATTTTTGTTTGAAAGTAATTTTTTATTTCCTTCTCTTCCTCTCTTACAAAAAAAAGAAGTGGGTTTCTGCTAATGAATTAAGCAGACATCTAATATTTTATATGCCTTTTTTAGCTGTGTAACTTAATATTTGGATACTTGATAATTTATTTTATTATGTAATTGATAAAATGGTGATGTATATTAGGGTTAGTTCAACCGTATATTAAAGTTAGTTCAACCATATATTTATACTGTCTGGGGAAGTGTGGTTATAGTTCTGCAGGAGAAATAATTTGCCAGTGTTCATTAGCTCGTAAAAACTTAGTGTGAGGGCTTAAACATCTAAATAAATAAGGAAATGCAAAAAAAGGGCCTAACATAAAACCTTTTATTGA